ACTTGCTTTCAGCTTGAAGAACATTCTTGGGTAATCTTTAAAAAAAAAATTGTGATGGGTGCCAGTGGCTCACGCCTATAATCCTAGCTCCTCAGGAGTCTGAGATCTGAGGATTGAGGTTCAGAGCCAGCCCAGGTTAACCACCAGAAAACTGGGAGTGGTATTGTGGCTCAAGTGGTAAGAGCACTAGCCTTGAACTAAAGAGCTCAGGGACAAAGAAAGCCCAGGCCCAGAGTTCAAAGCCCCAGGACGGACCAAAACAAACAAACAAAAATCTGTATTATTAGTTAGTAGTTATACAAAGGAATTGTCATTCAACAAACCAGTTTATGAGTGCAGTGCATCTTGATCAATGTCACCTCTTCCAACGTTCTTACCCATCCCTCCCAACCTACTTTTTTCCTCACTTTTCATAATTTTTTAGGATATGTATTGAATTTTATGTATGCAATGCATCTTGACCGTTCCTTCAACATTTTCACCCTCCTTCAAGTCACCCCTTCCCCTATTTTATTTAATTTTGTGGCATATATAATGAATTCCTGACTGCATTGAGTAATCTTTTTAAAGGAAAATCTGCTAGTTATGATGCTTCCAAGTTTTGTGGGTTGTTTTTTTTGGGGGGTGGGGGGGAAGCAGTCATTCATGGCACTAGAACTCAGGGCCTGAGCGCCCACTGTCCCTGAGCTCTTCAGCTCAAGGCTAGCACTCTACCACAAGAGCCACAGCACCACTTCTGGGTTTTTCTGAGTAGTTTATTGGAGATAAGGGTTTCATGGACTTTTCTGCCCCGGCTACCTTCCAACTGTGATCCTCAGATCTCAGCCTCCTGAGTAGCTAAGATTACAGGCGAGAGCCACTGGAACCTGGCTTGTAGCTTAATTTAGCAAACCTATTAATCTATCCAGTTAATTCCTCAAACCCAGGAGATTTGGGGAGAAAATAAAAGCAGTGTAGCAAAGTCTTCCTTGGTGACTCCTAGACTATGATTTTAACTCCTTTTGTCTACCACTTTTGGATTTTTGGTGGTTAATCGGACATAAGAGTCTCATAGTCTTTCCTGTCTGGGCTGGCCTCCAACTGAAATTTGATCCTCAAATCTCAGCCTCCTGAGTAGCTAGGATTACAGGCATGAGTTACTGCAATTTGCCAATGTAAGAATTTTGATTAAACTGGGTACCAGTAGCTCACACCTGTAATCCTAGCTACTCAGGAGGCTAAGAATTGATGCATGGTTCAAAGCCAGCCCAGACAGACAAATCCTATAGACTCATTTCCAATTAACTAAATAAGAAGCTAGAAGTAGAGGTGTGACTCAAGTGGTAGAGTGCCAACTTTGAGTGAAAAAGCCAAGCAAGAGTTAAAGCCTCAATACTGGCACACAAACAAAAAAAGAAAAGGAAAAAAGAAAAAAAACATTGTTGACAGGTTTTGTGGCCTTTTTTCAGCACTTTGAATGTAAACCTAGTGCTCTGGCTCCTTCCCTCCAGTTCTGAGATATCACTTCTTAATCTTTTATTTTTTTAAATTTAAATTTTATTTTCAATTAACATATCGTTCTTATGGTGTAGTATGAGTCTATGATATTTGTTTTCAATGTATAATGATCAAGTTAGATAATTAGTATATTACTTTAAGCATTTATCATTTCTTTGTTGTGAGGGCAATTAAATAAATACACTAGCTATGTGGAAATATGATAGTTCTATTTTATATAGTTTTTTGAGAATTTCTATACTGCTTACCCTATGAGTATGCTAATTTACAGCCCCAACAAAAGTGGTTTAATGACCAGCATTTTTATTTTTGTATTTTGGATAATAGCTCTAAATCTTACTGGGACTCAGTTGTTTCTTTCTTACTGCTTTACTTTTTTTTTTTCTTTTACCTTTAGTTTTCTTAGCTTTTCTTTACAGGACAAAATTGGGATTGTCTAATTAGGTATTTTGAAACTTCAACAGACAAATTAACAAAGGAGAACAATAATGCTTATCTTATTGTTGACTGGAAATTTGTTTATATTGTAACATCACAGTCACTAAGTCCACGGGTGGAACTTACTATATAAATATTCCTCTAAAAGAAATGGAAAGAGTGGCCCCATCCTGACAAAAGTTCCTTAAAAACACAAAGAGAGGTCTGCTGGCACCAGAGGCTTCTGGTAAACAGCTGCACTTACAATGTGCCTTTTTGTTGTTGTTGTTGGTTGTGGAGCTTGAACTCAGAGCTTGGGTGCTGTCTCTGAGCTCTTTCACCCAAGGCTAATGCTCTACCACTTGGAGCCACAGCACCACTTCCCGCAGCTACACTTGGAACAACTGAATGGTGAAAGAAAGGCTAGAAAATCTCTGAAGGGGTTCTGCTTCTGCAGTGACAATATGGGGAGCCGCATGGACAAGCTCCTCAGTGAAGCCAGCGAAACTGATGGAAATTATTTAAATGACCCAACTGCTTATGGTCTCTGGAATTGTACTAAGTAAAGGAAGAAAAGATACATTTTTTAAAAAACTAAAATTTGCCAGCCTTGTAATCTCAGTACTCAGGAGGCTAAGGTCAAAGCACAGTGAATTCAAGGCCAGCCTAGGATACATAGTCTTGCTAAAAAGAAAAAAAATGCAAAAAAACATTATTATTCTAGGGTTACTATATATGTGCCAAAGGTTGTTTCCTCTGAGGAGTAACATCGGAAGCATTGGGAAGAGATAGAGACTTTACTAAACTTTTGTTTAGTGTTTAGCTAAGTCACTAAACAAATAACAACATCAACCAAATAACCTCTATTAAGAGGGAAAGTGTATAGCATAAAGAACTAAAACAATAAACGAATTAGAATATCAATAATAACCAAAGAACCATAAGACATACAAAGAAACAAAAATGTGGCTCACACCCAGAAAGAATATACAAAAACTGCCTTTGAGAGAGAATGGATGTAAGATTTAATAGACAAAATTTTCAATGTGGTCATTATAAATATGTTCAAAGACCTACAGAAACACTGGAATGCAGTGATTGGTTCACGTGCTTAAGGACCTGGGTTCAGTCCCCAGCACTGCAAACAATATAACAAAAGAAAACAGAACTAAAAAAAAAAACTAAAGAAACAAAGAAAAGTGTGGTGATAATGTCTCAACAAATAGAAAATACCAACAAGAATTAAAAGGACTTGGGGCTGGGAAGGTGGCTCAGTGGTAGAGCGCTTGCCTTGCATACATGAGGCCCTGGGTTCGATTCCTCAGCACCACATAAGCAAAAAGAAAAAAGCTGGAAGTGGCGCTGTGGCTCAAGTGGTAGAGCGCTAGCCTTGAGCTGAAGAGCTGAGGGACAGCGCCCAGGCCCAGAGTTCAGGCCCCACGACCGGACCCCAAAAAAGAAAAAAGAAAGAAAGGAAGAAAGAAAGGAAAGAAAGAATTAAAAGGACTTAAAAACTGGATGGAAATTCTGGATTTGAAGTGTATAATAACAAGCTAATTTCATGAGATGGTTCATCGTAGATAAAAATAGTCAGCAAACTTCAAAACAGCAGTAAAAATTATAAAATCCAAAAAACATAGGCAAAGCCATAACAAGGAATGAGTATACAGATAAGCAGAGCAATGTATTCATTACAGGGACCGATACACAAATAATGGAGTAAGAAGGCTAATGAGAGAAGAGGAAAAATGCTAGAAAAAAATAATGGTTAGAAATTCCCCAAATTTGAGGGGAAATCCTGTCTATACACCAAAAAAGCTCAACAAACTCCAAGTAGAATAAAAAATAAAGAGCCTTTTCTGACAACTATACTTCTTAAAGGCTTTATGTAATTTTCTATCCATTGGGGGTTCTAACCAGGAAATTAAAAGAGAAATGTCAAGTGGAAAGGAAATGTTACTATCCCCTTCGGAGGGGGGGGGGGGGGGGGAGGCAGAATTGAAATGGATGGAGCTCCAGAGAGTTGGACGATGTAATTAAACCTTATTATACAACTAAATTTAATTCTTGACCAATACACTGTTTGAGCACATTGTGCTTTCTTCTTTAATACATACTTCGATATTAACAAGTATTTTTGAATTGTAGAATACAAGAATGCTCTACGAGTAGACAAATGAACTGTCTCTTTTCCACTGTTTCCTGGCTTCCTCTTCCTTCCTTCCTTCCAACCTTCCTTCCTTCCTTAAAATCCAAAAGTTTCAAGGTAAAGGCCTCCTAAATATAAACATTTAAGATGCTAAATACTTATTAATGCTGTATTTTAAACATTAGAAATATTTCTTTTCTTCTTGCCTCTTACAAGATAGAGTTGATCCTCTCTCCCTTCAACCCCTGGTTTTTGTACTAGTTCCATAGGTTTATGTTCTTGTCAAGAATGTAATATGGTTGAATCATCCAGTATTTAGTCTTTTCATTGCTTCTCAATTTTATTAACAATTTTGGTGCCAATTCTGAATAAAGTTTCTATAAATGTCTGTGAGCACATTTTGGTGTAAATATAAGTTTTCAGATCCTTTAAGTAAATACCTAAGAATGAGCTTGCTGAATTGAGTTACAGGAGTTTGTTTGCTTTGTAAAATATCACCATTGTCTTCCACTGTGATTGTTCTTGTTTCTGCATTCATAGCCACAGTGAATGACAGTTCCTTTTGCTTCCCAGTCCTCATTACTTGATATTGTCAATAATACAAACAAAAAAGTTTATATCCTGGTTACCTTTTTCATATTATTGAACTTTTTGTATCTGTATTTTGTTGAGAACTTTGAATCTCTATGAAGGACATTGATCTGTCATTTTTTGTGTTGTTATTGTTGGTTGCTTTTTAAAAATGTTTTTTGCCTGGCTTAGTATCATTATAGTAGTAGCTTCAATAAATGAGTTGGGCCGTGTTCCCTGTTCTATGTATTTGAAAATTTTTGTGTAGAGCTGGCATTATTTCTTCCTCAAATATTTGGTAGAATTCATCCTGAAGCCAGCTTAGTCTGAGATACCTTCATGTGACACAGCCTCCTTGTTTCCTCAGGTCTGACAGTAACTGCTGTAAAAGACTCAGGAGAATGGAATTTAGAAGCGGGGGCCTTAGTGCTTGCAGATGCCGGTCTTTGCTGTATTGATGAGTTTAATAGCCTCAAAGAGCATGATAGAACCAGTATCCATGAAGCCATGGAGCAGCAAACCATAAGTGTTGCTAAAGCTGGGTAAGTGTTACTTTGTTTTAAAATCTGTGGACATACTGAAATTATTTAATACATCATTAGGAGAAAATGGCAAAAATGGTATGGAACCTTTCAGAGATTATTAGTTATCACTGCAAGATACTCATGAAAATGTTTCCTTATTACAATATAAAGGTGTATGAGGAAATAAAACTGAATTACTACAGAAAAGAGAGGGGAAAATAAGGTATAAATATAGGTTGAGTTGGGCTGGGAAGGTGGCTCAGTGGTAGAGTGCTTGCCTTGCATGCATGAGGCCCTGGGTTCGATTCCTCAGCACCACATAAGCAAAAAGAAAAAAAAGCCGGAAGTGGCCCTGTGGCTCAAGTGGTAGAGCGCTAGCCTTGAGCTGAAGAGCTGAGGGACAGCACCCAGGCCTAGAGTTCAAGCCCCATGACCGGACCCCCCCCCAAAAAATATATATATATATAGGTTGAGTTAACTAATGAGAGCGGTTCATGAACTTTCAATGAAGAATTCAACTTATTCTCTGTGGGAACTTGGAAATCAATATTTATATCTAAGTTAGTGGTGGGTTTTTTTTGTCATTTAACCATAATGTTGATTTTTGATGCTGCAATATGTTAGCTATCATATCTAGAGGAAATAATTGAAGAGGTGTTTATGTGTAATTATTTTTAAGAACTCAGATGTAGAAATGCAATTAGACTTGTTCAGTTTCCTTTAGTATTAAAGGTTAGGAGGTCAAGGACATCTATTTAAATTCAGTACAAGAGAGACTTAGCAGTGGATAGAGCTGCCTGGACATCAGGTAGGTTTCCTTTGTGGTCTTAAAATCTAGAGTAGCAATACATTTATATAAGATAACTATGGATGCTTGAAGAATAACATTTAAGGTATAACCTATGAGATATTGTAAATTAGCCACAAACTTAGCCACAGCTAATTTAACTGCAGCCTAGTCAGTTGCAGAAAATGTACATAAAGTATGGTTTTACAGTAGTATATCATGACATGTTGGGTATGACATGGAACAAGTTCAGGGAACACATCAAGAGCCCTTTCTTTTTTTTTTTCTTTTTTTCCTTTCCTTTTTCTTTGGCTTAGACAGAATTACAATAATAATTAAGTTGTCTAGAACCCTTCTGACTCTATTGAGGTTCCAGCTCCAATGCCTGTTAGCTGGGCATGCCACTGAATTTCTCTGTACTATCATAACTACTGTTTTATTGAACATGATTTGGGGAGTATGAGTTCGTTCATATTCAAGTGGATATAAACAGCAGCTGTGTTACTGCATTGTCGCCATAGTTTCAGAAGTTTATTTATCTTCAACCCTGCTGTCTCATTATTATGATTCATAGACTCTTTCTTATTGATTCTTTGTTTTGGGGTCTTTTTTAGATTTAGTCAGCCCGCTTTAGTTGAACAACTTCAAATACCTTTACTATTTCAAATATCTTCAAGGGAGGCCTAGTTAGGTACTATCATTCCTATTAAAAGATTTGTTCAACAGCTCCTAGGCCTCTAGCCAGTCTATGGATGGACTGTTCTTGGGTCAGGTGCCAAACTCTAGTCTAGTCAGCTGTTCCTGTATGGAAGTTTCCATGGAAGGGATTATTAGATTATGTGCTTGGTGAGTATCATAATGTATGGCTTGTCCAGAACTGTAATGAAGACAAGAATCATAAGGAATATACCAAAGGACTGGGGTGTTGCAAAGTGAGGTAGGTTTGTCGATGCTTGGCAACAACAGTTCAGACAGACTGAATCAGTCTTTTTTAGGTGTGTTTTGTTTTTTTTTTTTGGGGGGGGGGGTCCAGTCGTGGGGCCTGAACTCTGGGCTTGAGCGCTGTCCCTCAGCTCTTCAGCTCAAGGCTAGTGCTCTACCACTTGAGCCACAGCACCACTTCCGGCTTTTTTCATTTTGCTGATGTAGTGCTGAGGAATCGAACCCAGGGCCTCAGGCCTGCAAGGCAAGCGCTCTACCACTGAGCCACCTTCCCAGCCCCTTGGTGTTTTGTTTTTAAATGAAGAAAATCTTGAAGTTTAAGTAGGATTCAGAGACAGACAAAGGTGGCAGGCCTTTAAAGAGATGAAGTCTCATGTAACTAGTGAGTGAGACATAGACTTAGTCTAGGTTGGCAGCGATTTTTACAATCTCTCCCCAGACTAGAGCTACCACCAACTAGGTGATCCTTTTCTACTTCTTACAAGTTTTCTTAGTTTTTTGACCCTTATTTTGACAATATTATGCAAGAGTCATGTGCTATTTTTGCATTTGGATTAGCAGGTAAATGTGCCAAAGTCACCGGTGTGTATATCTCATCTGCTTGGTAGTAGGAATGAAGGGAAACACCCTTCAATTCCTATTAGCTCATGTGTTCATTTTTCTTACCCCTCACTCTGCACCACTAAGCAATTTCTACCTCTAGCAGTAGCTCATCTTAACATTTTGGTCTAACAGTTTTCAGAATCATTCAGAATTCATTACCCATAATAATTAGGGCCCTGCTAATCTTCCTGATACAACGTATGCAGCAAATTACCAAATACAAAACTCTTGAGAAAGTGTCTCTACAGAGATTAATATGATACCACAGTATTGATTAGTAGTAGATACAGTTAAATATGAAAAAGGAATACGTAATAATGAATTTGACCAAAATAAAAACAAAGATATGGAGTGTCCTAAGTTTTACCCTGCAGAAAACCCTTATCTCCTCTCCATTTGCCAGTTTATCCCTTAAGGATATTAGTGTGAACCCCACTGTATCAGAATGGCTGATCGACTCTAAGAGCATTCCTGAGACTTTTAAAAAAACATATCATTCTTGCCAGGTGCTGATGACTCACACCTATAACCCTAGCTACTTAAGTGGCCAAGATCTAATGATCATGGTTTGAAGCCAGCCTGAGCAGGAAAGTCTGTGAGACTCTAATCTCCAATTAAAAATATCCAAAAAACGAAGTAGGGCTATGTGGCTCAAGTGGTAGAGCAGTAGTCTTGAGCACAAAAGCTCAGGGACAGTAACTAGAGTTCAAGGCCCAGGACCAGTACACACATACACACACATCATTCTATATGTACTGTAGAAAATAGGTTTGCTCTTTTTCTCAAATATAAGAATGTTATACTTAATAATACTATGTTAATTTCTTACATTGGTTTTTCACTTGAGATTAACCAGTATACAGTGTTTTCCTGGTCAGTGTTTCAGATCCCTACACCTACCAGTTAGTGAGTAAGCAACTGGGAGGGAATCATTGTGTTTTCCTCAATGTAAAGGCTTATTATGATCAGAAGACAGAAAAAAAGAAAAACATTGAGATGGCTACAGTCTACTAAAATGTAAACCACGTCAGTCAGTAACCAAAATATAGATAATATTGAGTTAATACATGTTTGAGAAGACCAAGATTTTAAATTTTGTTATCCTTTGATTATGTCATTTAGTTTGGACTGTGTGTGTGTGTGTGTGGGGTGTGTGTGTGTGTGTGTGTGTGTGTGTGTGTGTGTGTGTGTGTGCGCGTGCCAATCCTGGGGCTTAAACTCTGGGCCTGGGCGCTGTCCCTGACCTTCTTTTGCTCAAGGTAGAAGCTTTACCACTTGAGCCACACAGCTCCACAGCTGTGCTTCCACTTTCTTGGGTGTTTTTGAGTAGTTTATTGGAGCTTTTTTTGAGAAGTTTATTGGAGATAAGAGTCTCACAGACTTTCCTGCCTGGGCTGGCTTCGAACCATGAACCTCAGATTTCATTTACCTGAGTATCTAGGATTATAGGCGTGAGCCACTGGCACCCAGCGAAACTTTTTGTTTTTTAAGAGATAGGATATGGCTACCAAAGTCCAGATTTCAAGAGATCCTCCCAGTAGGAACAAGCCACTGCATCTGCATATGGAAATATTTTAAAAGTTTACTTGGATTTTGTCCTGGCTGCTTAATAGTAGAAGAAGAAACTAATAAGCAAATAATGTGATATGAGCTTTTAAGGGTTGTCAGTATTTAGATTTACCTGTTGTTTTATATTGTGCAAATCAACCCCTGTATCTAGGCAATGGCAGTACAGAGCCACACAATGATCTACATATATTTGAAAAGACTTTGCATGATGCTGATCATGATATGGAAAGATAATAGACCACTATTTTCAAGATTCTTTATAAATGTAACTGGACAGCATCTTTTCAAGGGCAGGGTATCAGTAATACAGGACATCCTTGCTATGTGCTAAGAATGCATTTTAGGAGATCATTTAACATTACAAGTTGTACATTTGGTGCTATTAAATTATACTTGCATGCCTAAGTAGAAAGGATAATGTGCAAATTAAAACAGCAAGGTAGAAACTTACTGTTTTGCTCAATAAATATACATTGTACACTAAGCAGTGTCTTGCTCTCAGCTAGCTACTGACACTACAAATATGAAAAGAAGTTCATAACCTTGTAATTAGACAAAGTAAGTAAACATTTATTGCATTTGTATTTCCAATAACTCTATAAGAGCCAGGACAGGGATCCCCATTTGACTGCTAATATCAGGGTCTCCTGAATCATCTTCTTGGAGCTAGGACCTGGAGATCTGTATTGTAAAAACCTTCCTGAATCTGGTTGATTAGCCCAATTTAGGAACCACAGCTGCGGGGTGAGATTGCTTTCAACAAGCACTTGGTCTTCTCCATTCTGGAGAAACTTCTTATTCTTGTCACAGTATGATGTAGATTAAGAGTTAGGTTCTCTATTCCATATAGTCATTCAGGGCCAAAGCCCATCCTTCCTTATGTGATTCTCTGGTTCCAGGGCCTTGTATTTTGTACTTCTGACAAGTAAAAGGAAGAATAAGGGATGGTTTGCTTTCAGGTGCCAGATCTAGAAGAGATAGTCTATGCTTGTTTTTTACAGGCTTAGCACGATAGTCAAGGTGGATGGGAAATGTAATTTTGGTTTCTTACTACAGGGAAAGAAAAACAAGGTTTGGTGAACACGTAGCAGTGACTGCTGCTGTAGCTGTAGCTATTTGGAAGTATCAGTAAATAGGCAGTGAGGAAAGTCATGTGTGCAGATAGGGCATTCTGTAAAAGGTACCAAGAATAATAGCAGACCATCACAAATACAAGGATATTTTCTAAAGGATCTATAAAAACAACTGGGTAACTTAAATTTAAAATGTTTAGCTCAAGGTGGGCACTGGTGGCTCATGCCTGTAATCTAGCTGCTAGGAAGGGTGAGATCTGAGGATCATGGTTCAAAGCCAGCTCAAGCAGGAAAGTCCAAGAGACTCTTCAATTAACCACCAGAAAACTGGAAGTGGTGCTGTGTCTCCAGTGGTAGAGGGCTAGCCTTGAGCTGAAGAGCTCAGGGACAGCACCCAGGCCCAGAGTTCAAGCCCCACGACCAACCAAAAAACAAATAAATAAAATAAAATGTTTAGCTCACTAGGCACCAGTGGCTCACCCTTATTATCCTAGCTACTCAGAAGGTTGAAATCGATGGATGGTGGTTTGAAGCCAGTCCAGGCAGGAAAATCTATAAGACTCTTATGTCCAGTTAACCACCAAAAGACTGATTATGGCTAAAGTTGTAGAGTTCTAGCCATGAGCAAAAAAGCCATGGGGGTTTGTGAGGCCCTGGTACTTAGTTCAAGCTCGGGTACCAGACCAAAAAAAGAAAAAAAAGTTTCTCTAATCATCTTTTCCATCTACATAAATATATGCCATTCTTATTCCCCCTGGAATCTTTACATTTACATAACTTACCATATGCTGCCTTAAACTATGCTTTATAGCTCATGAGTTGAAAACTAAGGAATGGTATCTGTTTGTTTAATTATGTATGCCTCTTAGCACTTAGCAGTGATATGCTCATTTGTAGAAGCATGGTGTTTATGGAACAATTGGTTCTGTCCAAGGTAAACTCATTTCAGGGTACTTTGTTTGAATTTAGTATTCATAATGTCTCCCTATATCATGCCATATTATCTTTCACAAGAGTTTCTCCAGATTTTCTAGCCCCATTTTATTAACACATTTATTCTTCATTTGTATTTGATTCCTCTAGCCAGTGAGTTTTACCCTGTCTCTCCCTCTCCACAGCCTTGTGTGCAAGCTGAACACAAGGACCACCATCCTGGCAGCAACTAATCCCAAAGGCCAGTATGACCCCCATGAATCTGTGTCTGTGAACATTGCCCTTGGCAGTCCACTCTTAAGTCGATTTGACCTGATCCTGGTTTTGCTTGATACCAAGAATGAAGACTGGGATCGCATAATTTCCTCATTTATCTTAGAAAACAAAGGTATGTAAAGACAGATCATTCAGGGTGGCAAGGAAAAATCAGACCTACCTAAAGGAAGTTTCCCATGAAGATAATTATATTCAAGATGCCTGCCTAACAAGCAATAGAGAGATTCTTAGACAGAAGTGCTTAGTAGGCCCCAGAATAATATGGAGCCACAGAATAATGAGCATAAGGGAAATCAGCTTTCTCCTCTTGCCATGGTAAGGTTGTAGTTTTAAGCACATCCTCTCTGATGAATTGTACTACTACTCAGCTCTTGCACACAAAGGAAGCTACCCTGAATTATGAAGCATATCTCTAGATGTGAACTTCTGTTCAAATTAGATTTATTCAAGTATTTTTATTACTATAAATCAGAATAATTACCATAAATTAAGAAGAGTTTTAGCCTCTGAGGAAGCTTACTTCCATTAAGCTGAGATACTAAAACAGCTTATTTTTAAAACTGGGTGCTATTGGTCATTGATAGCTCATGCATCTACTTCTAGCTACTCACTACTTGATCTGAGAATCAAGTTTTGAAACTAGCCTTGGCAATAATGTCCATGAGACATTTATCCCCAGTTAACCACCAAAAAGCTGGAAGTGAAGCTGTGGTGGCAACATGGCAGCCCTTTGGGCAAAAAAACTAAGGAAGAATACCCAGGCCCTAAGTTCAAGCCCTAGTACAGACACAAAATCAAGCAAACAAACCAAAAACAAAAACAGAGAGTAAGTCTAGATTCTAATAGCCACCAAAAGAAATGAGTGCAAGAGCTTCCAAAGGGAAGGGGAACAGCAGAATGGTGAGACAAAGAACCATTGCAACAGCAATATACACAAGACAATATGTCGGAAATGATCTGTACAACTTGGAGGTGGGGAGGATTGGGGGGAGAGAGAAAGTAGGAGAAAAATGAGGGAAGGGGTAACAAGTTTGACAGGAAATGTACTTATTTATATTACTTATGTAACCATAACCCCTCTGTACATCATTTTGACAATAAAAAAAGAACTTTTTCCAGTCCCTTAAAATGATATGTTTATCTATTCTTTCAATTTTCTGACCCAATGTCTGATATATATCAGGTTACCCAAGCAAATCGGAGAAGCTTTGGAGCATGGAGAAGATGAAAACCTACTTCTGCCTCATTAGGAATCTCCAGCCTACACTGTCTGATGTGGGGAATCAGGTTCTTCTCCGGTATTATCAGATGCAAAGGCAGAGCGATTCCCGGAATGCAGCCCGGACAACCATCCGCCTGTTGGAAAGCTTGATCCGATTAGCAGAAGGTTTGTTTCAATAAACAAAGGATGCTTTTATTGAATGCCTACTGTATGCACAGCATGGAAGTCAGCACCAAGGATTATTCTTATTCAAAGTAAGAATAATACCTACTCTAAGGGGTTCATAGTCACTTAAAGGCTCTGAATTCTGAGCGCAGATAAAGGGGTTGAGTAAAAAATGTAATGTTCTTCAGGAAAAAAAAATCTTGGTAATATCTCTGCACCTCCCATAACTTAAGAAGTTATTAATTTAGAAAGCTTTCTCTGATGTTTTATTTCTCAGAGGCAGCTCTGTATGCATTTTCAATGGCATAGTTTATTGTTTAGAATTTCTTTCCATTAGCATTTTTGGGTTTTTTTTCTAAGTAATTCCCAGATGTTACGTATCTGTATCATTATAACAACCAATTTAAGTCTCATCCCTAAAGCATAAATCTTGTATGTACACATATAGCCAATGAGGATATCAAACTCTTTTTGCCTAATACTTGTTTTTAACATTTTAGCCTATTTTTAAATCTAAAAAGATTTTTACATGAATGAAAAGCATCATGATAGAATCAAGTACTATGAAACAAATGGAGCTCATTTTTTTTCAAGGATTTCTAGTTAGTATGAGGGCAAGACATATGCCTAATCTGGCTTACTAGGTTGGTAGTTTTGAGAAACTTATAAATCATACATAAATAGAACCGTCACAGATGAGAAATGCGTTTTAATTTTGTATATTCCTATAACAGATTAAAAGTAATAAAAGTTGCTGAATATTAAATATGCTCATATGACCCTTACTCTGATAAACTCCAAAACTACATTTTTATATGAATATACAAAATTACATGAGCTGTGTAGAGGAAGCATCAGGCCTGTTATTAGAGAAACAACTGTGAAGCCAGTTGAGTATAGATTTTTGTGCTTGTTTTAATAAAATTAATTTGTGATTAGTAAGTAGCTAATTCATAAAATATATTTATTGATTCAAATATTCCTTTTTAAAAATGTGTCTTTTTTCTTAGCTCATGCTCGCCTGATGTTCCGCAGTACTGTGACTCTGGAAGATGCGATTACAGCGGTGTCAGTAATGGAGTCCTCCATGCAGGTAAGGCTATTTTCAGGTTTTGTTTTGTTTTGTTTTTGTCAGTCGTGGGGCTTGAATTCTGAGCCTGGGCCCTATCCCTGAGCTTTTCAGCTCAAGGCTAGCACTCTACCAATTGAGCCACAGATCCACTTCTGGTTTTCTGGTAGTTAATTGGAGATAAGAGTCTTGAGGACTTTCCTGCCTGGGCTGGCTTTGAACCACAATCCTCAAATTGCATGAGCCACTGGCACCCAGCTATGTTCATATTCATTAGACCCTCTTTCTCAACTCTTAGATGGGTACAGTAGCACAAACCTGTCATTCTGTAAGAGACCGAGAGTGGGAAGATCACCATTGCAAGCCAGCCTAGGGAAAAAAGTACAGGACTAAATCTCTACAAAAAGAAGCTACACTGGTGGTGTACATCTGTCGTCACAGCTACCAAAGGAAGTGAAGGTAGATTGCAGTCCAGGCACACACCTGGGCAGGAAGTGAGACCTTGTCTCAAAAATAACCAGGACAAAAAAGGACTGGAAGTGTAGTTCAGCAGTGGAGTTCCTGCCTAATAAACATAAGGCCCTAAATTTAAACCCCAGTACCACCACCACCACTTTAAAAAAAAGGTATTAAAATGACTATATTCTGACCTAATGCTGCCTGAAAAAATAGCCAAAAATAATTATTTGTGAGATGAAATGTTATAGAGACCTTCACTCCAGTATTGTCATTGCTTTTGCCATTGGTAAAAAGGCCTCACCCTTTTTCTCCCCAGGTATGTTCATACTCTCATTAATGACAATGTGGCTTCAAGGAGAAAAGACAATTATTGAGGTTTTAAAAAAGGTTCCCAGGTGGCTTTGATTCTCAGGATGAGGGTATAGTGTGGCTTGTCTTTGCTACCTAGGTTCAAGAGTCCCTAGTATGGGGCTGGGAAGGTGGCTCATTGGTAGAGCGCTTGCCTTGCATGTATGAGGCCCTGGGTTCAATTCCTCAGCACCACATAAGCAGAAAAAGCTGGAAGTGGTGCTATAACTCAAGTGGTAGAGCACTACCCTTGAGCTGAAGAGCTCAGGGACAATGACCAGGCCCAGCAACCAACAACAACAACAACAAAGAGTCCCTAGTATGTCTGGCCCCTATGACAGCTGGCCTGTTGGCTTTCACTGGTGTTTTCTCCCCTCAGGGAGGTGCACTGCTAGGAGGTGTGAATGCTCTCCATACTTCATTTCCTGAAAATCCACAAGCACAGTACCGGAGGCAGTGTGAACTCATTCTGGAAAAGCTGGAACTTCAGAACCTCTTAAGTGAAGAGCTTCAAAGACTTGAAAGGTGAGGAAGGAAACCCAAGAAGGGAATAGAGTTAGAAGGGGTGACATTGATTAAGATGCATTGCACTTGTAAATTGATATGTTGACTTGAAGCCCCTTTTACAACTGCTTAAGAATAATAAAAAATAGAAGTAAAGAATAATAAAAAATAGAAGTAAATAAAAATCACAAAGAAAAGTAAAATAAATATAAACTAAGTAGAAAAATCCGTCTGTCCATCTGTGGGATATTGTTTCAGTTATTTGTGGCTCTTTAATCAACCATTGCAAAACTCAGTGGCTTACACCATGATAGTGCTCACTGTTCCATGAGTCAGAAACTCAGACTGGTTCAGAGGAGATGGCTTGTCTCTGCTCCACAATGTACTGGTTGGGCTAAGAACTCAGGAATGACAGAAGAGTGTTGGAAAACTTAGCTTAGTCATGTGTTGTAAAAATGTGGATAATAGTTGAGCGCCTATCGCGCATACCTGTAATACTCAGCTACGAAGGCTGAGATCTGAGGATCATGGTTCAAAACAACCCCAGGCAGGAAAGTCCCTGAGACTCTTATCTCCAGTTAACCACCAGAAAATTGGAAGTGGAGCGGTGGCTTAAAGTGGGAGAGCAATAGCCTTGAGCGAAAGAGTTCAAGAACAGTGCCCAGGCCCTGAGTTCAAGCCCCACAACCAATCAAACAAAAATAATTTGGATAATGACAAGGAGGACTGTGTAATATGTTAGTAAGAACATATTCTTTACCTAAAGAACTTTGGCCACAAGTCTGCTGCTTTGCAGAGAGCTACAAGTCTCTTGTATTTGAACATTTCAAGTGAGAGACAAGCCTGAACATTTTACATTGATCTTCAAAAAAAATCTTAAATTGAATGGACTTTGAATGCAATCTAATAATGTAGGCCAACTTCCAATTTCATTTTCTTTTTATGTTACTATAGTTTTAGGTTGAAATAAAATGCTCATCTGAGCACTAAATTCTATATTTTTCCAAAAGGATAATTTTCTTCTGCTCTTTGAGACTATACTTGATATTAACTTGGAATTAAGTTGAACTTAAACCTTTCAGATGGCATCTCAGAAACAAAAGGAAAGGTTAAAGCAGATTCTCTTCTCTTCAATACATATTTTCCTTATTTGTCTCTGCCCCAGGTTACAGAATGAGAGTATGCTCCAACCCCAGCCACAAGCAGTAGAGGCAGAGACTGCTCCAGGATCCTCAGGAAACAATCCAAAGGAAGAACCAAACTTGAGAACTTCAACACAACAGGAACCAAATTGTAGTACCCATGCCTCTCCTGCGATCAACAGCCCTGGAGAAAACCCTCCTGTAGACCCTCCATTCTCTAGGGGACCAAATAGATCAACAAATAGGAAACATTCAGCTGAGCACAGATATAGTAGAGATGGTGGTTTGGACTGGTTTGACTTAATGGCAACCCCTCAGATTGAACAGAAAAACACTAGTCTTGTGCCTCCTGTTCCCAAAACAACTGAGGAGAATATGTTGTTAAAATCATCTAGTATATCTCAAGGAAAGAGTGAGCCAGGAAAAAGGAGCAAATTAGACGTGGGGCAGCTTCCATCACCAGGAGCCACACGTGCTCCACTGAGGTCATCCCATGTCAAAGGTAAAAAGGCAAAAAGAGGAACAGTAGTGTCTGAAAAAGCAGTTCACACTGCTGGGCCAGAATCAGTACAGACTCTTCATGTCCCCAGCCAACTGCACAATCTTCGAAAGAAAGAGGCCCAGAGGTCATACACAAGTACTCCCGGAGCAGATTCACAACCCACCTTGCCTTCCCCTCTTCAGGCCATTTGTGGACTTGGACCCGAACGAATCTCAGAAATGTCCCCCCAAAAGAGACCAAAATCTCTTCCTCAGGACAAAGAGTCTGAACTTGAAATTGCTGAGAGTCTAACTCCTCCACTGGCCAAACTGGCAAAATTTACTTTCAAAAGGAAGTCAAAACTCATCTACTCCTCTGAAGACCACAGTCCTGTGTCTCCTGGCACAAGTAAAATAGCAGTTCATAGTCCTGAAACTCCCCAACACAAAACAGGCAAAGACGCAGCCCTGCCTGTGAAAGGTCCAGAAAAGTTGACATCAAATTCAGGAAACAGAAGCTCCAATCAACAGAAGAGTAGAACAAAGGAGCTGTCATGGCAGCCACTGGAGAAAGATGGATCAAGAGAAGAAAGGGAATGTGGGGCTGAAAAGAGGATTATTGAGCCTGAATTGGAGCTTGGGAACAAGACAGAGAGTTCTCATCTTGCTTGTGAGAAAAACAGAAAGGAAGAGGTTTCATGCAGTAATAAAGGCAGCAAGGTTCATGCTGGCACATTAGCCAGATTGGCAAACTTCTCCTTTACTTCATCAGAATCCAAATCAGAATCCCTTCCTCCTTCTGAAAGGGAGAACTGGGATGAGAGAGGCCCTAGCCCTCCTGCCACAACCACTTCTCCAGTGCTTGGCAGCAAAAGGAAGTCTTTTCATCTACAGGGGCCTACTGAGAAAATGAATGTTTCCAAAAGGTCTCTCTTCACTCTATCAGAACTGGATGACGAAGCATTAGATTTTGATTGGGATGAAGAGATGAGAAAAAAGACATGATCTGTAATGCTTTCTGGTCGAATTTCTTCTTCAACTCAACACTGCCTTCAGAATATCATTGTGGAATTTATAAACATATATACTGTCTTTCCATACTGAGTACCATTCCAAATACCAATTCCCCATCAGGTTTTATAATTTTGGGTTTATCTTTAGAACTTTAAAATTATACAATGAACTTAGGTCAGTGTGATCCCAGTACTTGAGATAAATTCATGTGATAATTTTGCAGATGTAGTACTCGTATTCCTAAAGATGTTTCTGTTTTTTCTATCCATCTTTTTTTTTAATGGGGAAGGGGTTCTTCTCTAAGTCACTTCTTCTGTTAATCAATGAACAATGCCAAGAATATAGCCCTTATAAGGCCAACGAGGTGGATTAATTCTTCCTGTTTTTTTTTTCCTTTTTTTCTAGCTGGGATGTGCTAAGTATAATACTGTCATTTGGGATGATCTGCCAAAATCGTGTGATTTTACTAATAATACTTCTGTGTTGATCCTCATGTGCCAGATTAAATGTGACTAATGCTTTTCTAACTTTGAAAGGCATCTTTACAAATTCATGATCTGACAGTGGGTCAAATTTACTTTCTGAAGTACTGACCTTTTGAATTTTCCTTGCCGCCCCCCCCCTTGAACCAACATTTTGTGCCTCTTATTCTTTCTTGCTCTTGGGGACCTTCAATTAGGAGAGAGAACTATCATTTCAATCATATATAATGTGACATCCATCCAAGTGGTTGATATGGGAATTTGGTTCCTGCTAAGCTATGATGTATTTTTTTTTTAAAACCAGGCATACTATTTGGTAGAGAGTGATAATTCCATATGCTATTAAAATTCTAATATTCTTAGAACCCCGTCATTACAGACTTTATCTTCAGAATTATGTTTTTGTAGCATAATACTTGATTCCCAAATTGTTTGAAGGGCTTTGGGACATAAAGAGTACTAAGAATTACATTTACTTCACTTAATGTTCACTATATGAGCTGGATGTGTATTGTTCAAGTGGTAGAGTACCAGCTAAGCAAATACAAGGCTCTTAGTTCAAACCTTGGTACTGACAAGAAAAGAAAAAAAATACTGAAATTCATGCACAGAAACAAAAATTTGTGAAACCACTTTCTATAGCATGTAAGTATTAATTCCAAAATTGAAAAATTTCTGAAAAACCTTTAAGAACAAATTTAGTATGCATAAAGTCTCGAAATACCTTAAGCAGCTGATAAAACATCTGCATGCATAGTGATGAAAGAATTTATTGTTGCATATTCACTTAAACCTATTCTAAAACTTCAAGAATATAAACTTCCCAGTGTATTATGATTCTTCATTTATTGGATTTCTCATCTCTCAGTATTTTTTCTTTCATATTTAAGGATTTTTTTTTTTTTACTAGAATTAAAGGATCTAAATGTAGTTTCAATATAATCATGGCCTGATTGTACAGATGAGGTAATTCTAAATATGAGCCACAGTGTGGGGCTGACTTTTTTATGTTTAACTTTTAAAGTTCTTTCTTATATTTAGTTTCCCTGCCTATATACCTTGATTTCTTTGGGTATTTTTTGAAGTAATAATGTATTCTTTTGGGGCTGACAGTACCTATTGGCTTATTTTGTTATCAGGGTGTTTTGATGTTACTGTCATTTAAACTGTTTCTGTTCTTTATTGGAATCTCAGTTCTCTTTTGTGGTTAAATTATATAGTTAGGACATTATATAATTCATATTTTAAGGTATAGTATCTAATTGTCTCCTGGTGATTTTGAATTACCAAGGCCATCTTTCTTCCTGGTTACTACTTATTCCTCTCATATATCATATTGTTTCTTCTACTATCCTTATCCTATTTCACCTCTGGTACCTTCTGCCAGGAAGTACAGTTTCTGTGTTTATTCTTGGTGCCTATCCAAATACAGAAACTACTACTTATTAGCTGTTACAAACAAACATAATAATTTGCAGGGAAAAATACTCAGTATAAAAACACCCTGGCTGGGGCCGGAAAGGTGGCTAAGTGGTAGACTGCTTGCCTTGTGTGCATGAGGCCCTGGGTTCGATTCCTCAGCACGACATAAGCAGAAAAAGCCAGAAGTGGTGCAATGGCTCAAGTGGTAGAGTGCTAGCCTTGAGCTGAAGAGCTGAGGGACAGTGCCCAGGCCCAGAACTCAGGCCCCATGACCGACCAAAAAAAAAAAAAATTCCCTGACTTCGTAAAAATTTAAACTTCTGTCACACCGTGTTTTTTGGATTATGACTAAGTTTATGTTTATATTTGATATTCAGAATATCAGAGCTTGGTCGATTGAGGTAGACTCCAATGTTCTTTTAGCACCTTTATATTTCTAAATGCACCTGTTGCATCTGAAAACAATAGGATCTTCAGAATTTTTTGATTTTTTTTTCTTTTCCCAAGTCACAGAATCAAGCATCCTCAAGTAGTTCTATATTTTTGTAGATCCCATGGTCTTTGAGGCCAAATTCTAGATCTTGGGGATGGATATACATGAGTGTCACCAGTGGACAAAGTTTCTGTCACTGCTGTTGGGTCAGAGATTCAGAGCTGCAGAAGGCTTGAATATCTTGAGGTTATATTTTGACTGACATCTTCTCCCTTTGTTATATGATTTCATAACTAAAATTTTGTTGTACATGGTCTTTGATATGTGTAACAAGGAAGAATGTAGGTGAGGGAAATGCACAATCTAAAACATATTTCTGGTCAATAAAATGTGTAAACAATAACTTATTTCTTGGTTGATTTGTCACAATACTGTATTTCAGGTCACTGGTCTCCTTAAAATTATCTTACTATAAAATTATTTAAATGCAATAAAAGCTGTACTTAATTTTCTATGTGAGAGGCAACTCAATAAAATTTTAATTTTACAACCTCACAAAATAACTTTCTGACAATAAAACATTAATCTTCAGTATATATTTATGTGCTATTCTAAAATTTATGAGGGGAAGCAATTTCTACTGGAAATTTCTGTCTTACAAAAACATAGGCAAAATGAAAGTATTATTCTGACATTGTTAACTCTTTGGCTTAATTTGATCAAATTTTTACTTTTCCCTAAGGCATACTGAACTTTAATTACGAAAAACTTCTTTGACAAATTTAATTTTAATTTAAATTAACAAATTGACATATTCTTTATGGGTACTTGATTTCTTTTCCCTTTGGTGGTCCTAGGCCACCTGCCTAACTGGTGGAGCTGCTGGAAGACTAATGCTTAGGCTTACCACACATGAGGGGGCCTGGAGCTCCCTTTTAGTCAATTCACAATATTTGGATGTTTCAGATTCTGGAAATCAATCACGAGGTACTGGCCAGGACTTGGTGAGTCTTTGAGGTACAGCTTATCAAGCAGCCTAGTTCCAAGTTAATTGCTTCCCAGTGTGAAGTGAGATCAATGCATGTCTCTTGAGTGCTTAGACTAACATCTGCAGTGTCTGCTTTCCATGTTGCTGGCCATGGCTAGCAACCTTGGTATTTGCACCAGTTGGGACAGTAGTGAATGGTCACCTAGCACACAGTAGCCTGGGCTGTGGGAAGTGACAGTCTCATTTCACTCTGGAGAGAAGATAGTCCTCTTAATAATGATACCTTAAGACCATGCATGTCTGGTCATTTTCTGACTCTTGGACATCTTGCATCAGACTCCTTGTTGGTGTAAGACAAGATACAGTTTCAGGGCCTGTTTGCTGCTGTTCTATCTGTATACAATGCTTTTCCTCTAAATTACCAAGTAATCATACCCTCATTCATCTTCCCATGAAGCCTATACTAGCCTGTTCAAAGTTACCACATAGTTTCCTACCCAGTGGCATTTCTATCATCTAACACAACATTTACTCATTTGTTTTATGTCTGTGTCACAGGTGCTAACCAGTGGTGAAGGAAGTCTCAATGTCCGGGATAGAGAGATGTGAGATCAGCTGCCAAGATGGCACTGAGCGTATGCCCCATTCCACAGCAGCAGTCACTAGCCCTGCTAGGTAATGGAGCTTAGGATGTTCTACTGTCATCTTCTAGAATCTACTTTATAGGATCCAGACTAGAGAATTAAATGGAGATTTGAAGATTACTTCTGCCTTCTTTAGTTCTTTAAGGGTGGAAACTACATTTTTCCATTTACCCTGAGATGTTTATATTTTGCAGTCTTGCCTGAAGGATGGGGTGGGGCAGCTTGGAGTTTTTTCCAATCTGAGAGCTCTTACAGGCCAAGGAAGCAATGTGTGCATGCAGCTGTTCAGACAACTTCTAAGTACTGTCCACTTCACTTAGACATTCAGAGACTATAGACATGACTACTGGATGGGTACCTGGACCACCTGGACCCACTTTGAGGTAGGAGTTCCTGTCCTGTCCACTTCCACTTTACCAGAAACCATATCTTTTATCACATTGGCCATCAGATCTGGTCAACCCAGATCTGTTTCTTAAAATGCTGGCCTATTTCCCTTCCCTAGGAAAATAGCTACCCACGTAAAATCTATTGTTCCCTTTGGAAAAGGACTGGGCTAGTCACTTTAATACACACCAAGGTTTTGCTGAGTAGCCTCTCCTGAGCTCCTGACGGTTCTGTTTCAGAAGCTGGTTATAGAATTGTAGTTTTTTTCTTGGTATCTTCTGGGGACTGTATTGATTAGTGCATCCAACTCACCTGATTTCTTGTCCCCATTCCAGATTTTCTGCTTCAGAAAGCCTGAGCTGGAACCTGACAAGTGGTATTCCCACCAACTTCCCAGGTGCTGGGGCTGCTGGTCCTGAACCAAACTTAAAGAATTACTGGTATAGGTCTGGGAATGTGGCTTAGTGGTAGAGTGCTTGCCTAGCATGCATGAAGCCCTGGATTTGATTCCTCAGTACCACATAAACAGAAAAAGCCAGAAGTGGTGCTATGACTCAAGTGGTAGAGTGCTAGCCTTAAGCAAAAAAAGCTCAGCGACAGCGCCCAGGCCCTGGCCCTGGACTGGCATTAAGAAAAATTATTGGTATAGACTGAGCAATATGTTGACCACACATCTATTTTTCCTCTGAGGACTATGGGCATTACTGTAGCTCTCTGTGAGTCAGCTTTCCTGCCTGCCACTCTTGACTTTGCTCCTAGTTGAAATATTTGGTTTTACCTTTTTCTGACAGCCTTGTCATCTTCTCCATTATTTTGGGAACTTACTTTTCCACTTTGATCAATTACTGGCTGTATACTGCCAGATAGCCAGAATGTCTGGGGTATGGTATTGAGCAAAGACTGAGGCTGCAAAAAATGCAGCTATAACCTATCAGCTGTCTTATACCATCAGCAGCTGGAGGAAATATGTGCATCCATCAGTTGTAAGTGGAAAAGAGGTGCAGTGCATCTTGGCACTTACCATATACTTAACCTCATCTGATTAGGAAGACTAGGATGAGAGGCACTCATGAGGCACTCCTCTTGACACAAAAGCTAAGGTAAACAAAAAAAATAATTCAATAATCCAGGTGGGTTTGTATTTTCTTTTGAGGGGAGGCAGTACTGGGGTTTGAATCCAGTGCCTTATACTTCCTAAGCAGGAGTTTTACCACTTAAGACACACACAGCCCTTTTTGTTTTTGTTATTTTCCAAACAGGTTCTTATATTTATGACTAGGTCAACCTGGACTGTGTTCTTTAGACATATATAACTATGCCAGCCTTTTGTTGGTTGAGATGGAATGTTTTGATCAGGCTGACCTTGAACTTTGATCTCCCTGCCTCTAAAGTAGGTAGGCTTTTAGCTGTGAGCCATTGTACCAGCGAAGATAAATATTTTGAGATAGTATTTTTAAAAATCAAAATACAAAACAAAACTCCATGATGAACAGAATATCAAATCTGTAAACAAAGATCATTGGTACTAATTTTCCCTTTTGCTTCTAGCTCCAATATGGCTTAGGATAGCACTGCTTTCTCGCCTAGACATGAGATTCTGTGACAGTAGGGAGTTGGTCACTAATGTCATACCTGACATTTTTGCTGAATGAGACATTTAAGACATTTGAAGGAGTAATTACTATTTATCAGCATTTCCTATGAGTCTTCTCTTTTCTTGGTGTTTCCTAGCCAGCCTTTATTGTACACAGGAGGCCATCTCTACATTATAGTCAGGAAATTAGGGAAGAAGTGATATGGAACTTAGGGGAAGCACCTGACCAAAACAGGATGCATTTTGTTGTTGTTGTTAAGGACAATTTTGAGGTGTAAATAAAAATATTTTTACTTGATTTTATCAGATATGAGGGATGCATGTAGTGTGTTTTATTGTACTCTAGCCATAGCTACTGAAATTTTTGGCAGAATTATAAGAAGTTTCAAAAATTCAATTTACCCATCAAAAATTGTACCACTGGCTCACACCTATAATCCTAGCTACTCAGGAGGCTGAGATTTGAGGATCATGGTTCAGAGTCAACCAGGGCAGGAAATTCTGTGAGACTCTTATCTCCAATTAACCACCAGAAAACTAGAAGTGGCATGCTAGTTTTGAGCAAAAGAGCTCTAGGGACATCACCCGGGCCCTGAGTTCAAGCCATACCACACCACCACCACCACCAACAACAACAAAATTGTTTGGTATAGATGGCTTTAGAATTCCTGAACCAAAGATTGACCAGAAAACCTTGGTACAGAGGAGAAACAGAAGCTGCTCACCTCAGGGCTGCTGGGCTCACAGCTGTGTCAACAGATGACGATAGCACTTTATGGACTGGGTGGCAGCAGTTTTGTACTTGTTATGGGGAAAAGATGGGGCCAAGCACTGGCTCTAGTCAGTCCTCTCCTTACAGGAGTGTCTGCCATCACCATGCCTATGTTTTTGCACTGCCCTGTAATTCTGTTTCTTTTTTTATATATATATAGTTGTTGGTGGTGGTGGTTTCCATTGGTCTTTTGTTTTAGCCAGTAAAGGGAACCTGGGAGTCTCTAATCTGGGTTAGAATCTCTGGTTAAAAGCCACTCTCATGTTCTGTAGGAAAATGGGGTTGCATCTCACCACAGAACAGAAGAAATCTCAAGTATGAGACCTTCAATGCCATTTCAGAA